ATCATCATACTCACGGTACAAAGACACTGATCGATCGCGCCCACACACGCGTATTCACGCAAACTTGCACATTATTTAACACGCTCATGACGTCATGGACATGATAAATGATAAATTTACGATAAACGATAGTAATGATAAATTAACGCAATGACGCCCAGCCATTGAGACATATACTTGTCAAATAGGTAGTGGTGGTTTACTTAACACTTACCACCAGTTTCTGAGCTCGAACCTGCGACTCTTGACTCGGACGCGCGGACGATCATCTCTTCGACGACGATGACTGATTTATGAAATTTATATCATCATTACAGATCAATACATTACTGCTTTTTTTTCTTTCGGACCAGAAACAGGTGTATTATCGCGTTACAAAAGTAAATCGATTCACTGATTTTTGTACAGCATAACTGTTATAATTTATAAATGTATACTTATTTATTATTTAATAAACAATACGTATTCGATGCAACGGAACACGGCTATATTCAGAAATCAATTCAATATATGACGTAAGAACGTCAGTTGCAGATTGTATCCAGTGGATTGCTCTGATTAAGATAATCAGAAGTAAAGCGATGTTTGGGGTGAGAAATTATTAATACCTATGTGAAATATAACCTATAATACTTAAATAACTTTTCCAAACATCTAAATTCCGAGTGAAATGAAAATGTAGTTCTTTTAATAATTTGGATTGTGAAATTAGCAAAAAAATTAAGTTAAGAAACAATATAAAAACATCTTGTTCGTTATTATTCTACAGTAACTAACCTTCAAACTTGAAACCCTATTTGCTTGTCTACTTCAAAAATTAATTTTCACGGTCGCTATTAATTCATCTTAAGCTATTATTATAGTTCATTTTTATACATTTCATTCTAAATTTTTAAAAATGAATTTCAAAATATGGATTATTTTTAGTCTACCATATTATAATACTTAATAACTCTTAATTTTAAGAACGCTAATTTTTTTACCTAAAATTTTTTATTTCAGGACGCGATTTACAAATATAAATTTTATGTGATACGTAACTATGAATTTGAAATTATCATTTACATTTGTTACATACGAAACTGTGCATTAATTGCATAACATTTCCCGTTCGTTTTTCGCAGCTTTTTAATATGGACTTTGTATTATTATATGATTTTAAGAGGACTTATACTTTCTATGGTTGTGTATCAAAATAACATTCAATGGAAAAAACGTATGTCAATAATCGATCGTATTTCCTAAAGTATATGATGTGTACACGAGTTAAGAGATATTTCGGTTTATATCGTCTAAAAGAACTCTCTTATGCACTATAAAACGGTCTGTTTTCCCATCAAACTATTTTGTATTATCATTTTCTAACGACAATCATCGACTTGGCACTGTCTCGGACAACCCATTAGCCTTTAGAAAACGACGAATTCTCTACGATGGTACTTATGGAATGTTAGTAAATTCATGGATATAAAACGATCGAGACCAAACTATGATAATATAAGTTGAATATGTGTTTATATGTTATTCGTACAACAAATTACATGTGAGTGTAGGTATATTCACGGCACGCACTACTCATATACATAATATATACGTCAAAGTGCAATAAACCGACCACACGTTATAGAGTTGATGTGGTTACGATCTTTATGGTTTGAACATCCAACAAAAGTGCTCAGTTGAACATTTTCCTTCGCTTTGACCTCATTCTTTGAATAAAAAGTATTAAATATGTAACAAAAAAATATTGTGTACAGTACATGTTTAAAAAATAAATTAATCTGATCGTGTTATTGTGAAAGTGTAATTCCTTTTTTATGCGGTAGATAAATAGAGAAAATAGAATCTAGAATATTAAATGTATAATTCAATATTAAATTTAAGACAATTTTTAACAAAAAAATCATTAAATTAATAAATAAAGATGTGTACGTCTTTAATTTTTGATTTTTGATTTGGTTTAAAATCGGTAAAATAACTATATATTTAATTTTTTAACTTATATTAGGGGCGAATTCAGACCAAAATAACGGGGGGGGGGGGGGAGATGATTTTTAACGGACACACATGATATAGATATTTATATGGATAAAATTAAATATATTAGATATAGGTTATTTATTTCAATAAAAAAGTTTTAAAAAAAATTATATAGTAATAATAATAATAATTTTTTTTAGTTATATCAATATGTGTCATAACAATAGAGTTTATAATTACAAATTTGTTGATTATGGAGGTACCGAACGATTTTTACGTTGGTCGTAATCAGTTATCATGTTTCGGAAATGCCGACAAACACAAAACTTGGTTACGAATATTTAACATCATGATAGTAGTATATAACTATGATATCAGTATTCACCAAATAATAGATATAAGTGATAATATCATTCGGTGCACAGCTCTTATCGAGCACACATGTTTATTAAACGTCCGCGATTCTTTTCATGTTTCACTTATACAACTTTGTCGATTTTAACAAAATTAATACCGTTGAAAAGGGGAAAAAAAGACGAATCACTAGTATTTTAGGTCTTACCCACTACGGGGGTCTGTGCAGTCCCAAGGTAAGAAAAATCACATTTTTAATTACCGTTGCACAAAATGTCTAACCAAAATAATACGCTGCCGCGCTCGTTATTTAACCAAAATAACACGTCACTGCGCTCGCCACCACAAAAGAAGCCATACAACAACAAACCGATAACTCCAATCAAAATTGTAAATGGCAATAAAATAATTAAACAAAACGAAATAATATACACCGACCCGGACGATTTATCATCTGTTGATTGGACATTGGTAATGTCTCCTCACTCCCAAAAACGTCAGCACATTCCATCACCTATCACGTCTCCCAAAACCAAACAAAGCAATACAACAAGTCAGTTTACAACAAAAAATCGTTACGCCTCACTTTCTGAAAACTTATCTACTCAGGAAATGGATACTGATCAAACGTCTGATTTACCAAATACCAAACCACAATTACCACCTCCAATTTTTATCAAATCTGAATTAAACTACAAAAATTTCTGTGACGCTATCAAACTATTAATCGGTCCCGAAGAATTCTTTTGCAAAAGTCTTATCAATAACCTAAAACTTCAAACAAAATCGGCTGATTCATTCCGAAAAGTAACAAAACTGCTTAAAGAAAAAGGAGTTGATTTTCACACTTATCAAGTTAAACAAGATAAACCACACAGAGTCGTTTTTCGGAACTTACATCATACCACGCCTATCGATTTTATTATCCAAGAATTAAATGAAAACGGATTCACTGCAAGACAAGTTGTAAATGTAAAAAATAAAATAACAAAACTACCGTTACCCCTATTTTTCATAGACCTTGAACCTGACCAAAATAATAAAGAAATATTTAAATTAACTTCAATATGCTACACCAAAATTAAAGTTGAAGAGCCACACCCCCGACGCCAAATAATAAAATGTCTTAGATGCCAAGATTTTGGTCACTCGAGAACATACTGTAATCACGCACCTCGATGCGTGAAATGTGGGGAAAACCACAATACTTCTGCCTGTTTAAAACCTATCGACCAACCACCAAAATGCGCACTATGCGAAGGACAACACCCAGCAAGTTATCGAGGTTGCATTGTGTATAAAAATCTACAACAAAGACACCAGAAAAATAAAAATATAATTAACCAATATTTCCAATCTGATATTAAATTATTAAGTAACAATAATCCCATACCTGTTAAAGAGGTCTATTGCACCACCCCAAATGATAATATTAATACTAATAATCAGCCTCACACTCAATCATACGCAGATGCCTCTCGTCAATTTAATAATACAAAAATCCATGAACAAACCACAAATTATTTTTCCAAACAGCTCACCTCATTCCTAGATGATTTTAAATTAATTATTAATCCACTTATTTCACTTTTTACAACGGTTATCAACAAACTTTTAATAAAAAATAATGAATAACTCCACCCAATCCCATCCCTCATTAAACATTTTACTCTGGAACGCAAACGGTGCCATTCAACACAAACATGAACTTCATAACTTATTATTCGAAAAAGAAATTGATATATTCCAAACTCGACTCCCATAAAAATCCTCTTATAAAAAATATATCCTCTCATGTTCTACCTGGAAACCCAAAACGACGTTTAAAAAGGAACTGGTTCTGTGACCTATTATAATAAATTGCCAAATTACAAATTATGAGGGTGTTGCCAATGGGCCTCTTCCCCAATCATGCTATTCATGCCATTGTTATTCATAATAATTATCATATTTACTTATTGTTTTTGTTTTTATGTACAGATTTTAAATTTCTTTAAAATAAATAAAAAAAAAAAAAAAGTGATAATATAGTATCAGCATAAGTTTGGTATAAAAAGAAATAGTTTAAGATTTCCCTATTTACCCTTGAAGTAATTACGTAAAAAACTAAAGTCTTCTATGGTGAACGGGGGGGGGGGGGGGGGAGAGAGAGGCGATCACCTCATTCGCCCTATCTGGATCCGCCTCTAGCTTATATTACAAATAGAATATACTAAAATTAACTTGAATTTCTTTCTGTCCACTGCAGAAATTAGGTACGTTAAAAATATAGGAATTTACATATTGTCCATATGGCCGATTGCATGTTATATGTTATTCAAGGTTCAAGGGGATATATTTAATAAGAATAAAATATTAAATTGTTTGTGTGTGTGTGTGTGTATGTGAGAAAAGAAGCGCTGTCGATGAGAAATTACTAAACCATAATTAATGGAATTATGGAGTCATGAGTTCTCTCAAAAAGTTTTCAGTGTAAAAAATACTTAAACAAAAAATGGAATTATACTTCTCTTTACTTACCAGTAGTATATGAATACACATTACAAATGTATAAAGGACATATGTTGCATAACATGCTGGCCGTATCGTAAATATGCCTAAGACACTTGTTTTGATAACTTATGTGTAGTGCAGTACAATACTCTGTACAGTCATGTTCACTTGTACATAACTATACTGTGTATACGTCACACATAGGCAATATGTTAGTTTTAAATAAGGCAGCATTTTACTAATACATCCTTTTGCTAATCTCATGTCATTTTCGTATTTTTTTTTAACTTATTTCATCTAGTTTTTGACTAGTCGTTTGCCACGTACGATTTAGCAGACTGAAATAAATTATAATCCACAGTGCCGGGTTTATTTTCTTCCTCGTATAGTAAGTGATGTACGAGTAGATTTAAAACAGTATAATAAACTTGTAATCACCATTAGTTTAATACGTTACGATTTTTTTCGAAAATCTACATTACGTCCAAACAGTTCTTAATATGTATTATACCAGCCCAATGCCTTTGATACAGCACTGATGAATTACATTAACTTTATACGAAATAATCTGTTAAAGTTCTCAGATAATTCAAATAAATCCGAAATATCTAATGTATCTAATGTAAGTATTAAGTGTCAGCGAAATGAATAATGTATTATTAAAATAATTATAATATTTAATACAAGACATACATATCTAGTACTTACATCATAATATGATACATCATACAGCCATATTTGTATATTCCAATTACTAATGCATTTGTATATACACGTGTGTAACGATTTCCTCGTTGTTATATAATAGACACTCGTCGAACAATCACAATTTAAATAACATTTACGTTATAGGTTAATCGTGTACAAACGGTGTGTTTATTATACATCCTAAACAGTAAAAATTAACTATAGCTAATTATTGATCCGCTAAAATAGTATAATTTTATCATATTTCAAATGTAGTGCCTCTTGAATTTTTACGGGTAATAGGTACCCGTAACCAGAAATACTCAGGAAAATATGTTTACGAGTAGTACCCGGTTGTTGACTTCCGGTTTGTTACCTCATTAAATTATAATAAATGATTTTTCCCGTCCTTTTATTTTTGAAAAATAATTCCGTAATAATAATTACATAGTATTTTATTGTTTCTATAGTAGCCGGAAAATACGGTTCCTGATTTTGAACTACCCGGACCAAAGCTGAAAAATCATAGCAGTCGAATATCCACAACATACCCGAATAAACGAATAACAAAAGCACTGGTATGTATTCTCGTGTATTTATTATTTATTTTAATACACAAGTGTACAATTGTGAGTAGTGTGCTTTTAACTTGATATTCAAAGTCATAGAATTGCAAACTTAACGATGGACACACGAGAAGAAATAGAATCAAACTGATAGCCAATCGTCATTAGACTTACTGGTTTCTCCGGCAAAAAAAATTCCTTTAAGGGCTATCTGACAGGCAAATATCACACACGACAAAGTGCACGTAAAAATAAAAAAACATAATATTTTACTAAACCGATTGTAATGAAACTCGTGGAATACCTTATACATCTTATATACTTCTCCTATTCGTCTTTATAATGATTTTTATGTTTATTGAAGAATATTAACATTTGCATAAAACATTATTATGTCTTAATATTATTTTAAACTTACTTGTTTGTAAACAAATCGTATATTTGTATATTATTGACTACTCGTTTCTAAAATATTGCATATTATTTTATATTATACATTAATTAGTTCCACGTGTATTCTAAAAATTATTATTTGGTTTAGAGCATGGTAAATAAATTATATTCATCCATCGCACTTATATTTTACTATTATTATTATTATTATTATTATTATCATTGTTTTTCTTATGTACAAATTATATAATAAAATTTTGAATATTAATAAAATATTAAATCCTCTTTTGAATATATTATAATATACATTCCATAGTCAATTTAAAACATAATGCGCTATAAAATTTAAATATTAGGTCATCGAAAGTGTTAATTATTGTTGGATTACATTAATACATAATGACATTGCTAAATCATAATACATCCGATATATTTGTCTTTTATTATTATTATGCATATGACACTCGGCATGAGCTCTTATTTAGATTTAAATTTAACAGAATTAATAGATAAACATAGATATATATATATATATATATATATAGAATATTAGATAAAATATAACAGACTAATAACAATAACAACAACAAATAAAACAAAGCAGACTAAAATATTATAGGACATGTTCTTCAAACATGTTTGTTAGAGTCGAATATCAAATTTCTCTAACCATTTGATCGCCATTGGTCCGCAGATGTGTAGAGTTGCTATCCCTCCTTCAAATCTTCTACTTTGACATTCCTCAACAATATGGCTTGTAGTCTGTATTAGACCGCACTCGCACAACGGGGAATCAGTCATGCCCCATTTGTGTAATTGATAGTTACACCTACCTTGCCCAGTTCTTATTCGGTTTAGGGCCGTCCATTGTGCTCGGCTGAGTTCGAACCCAGGTACTCTGCTATCAGGGACGCTAACTAGGAAATGGTTTCGGACGTTAGTGTTTGTCCATTTGTTTGCCCACATCTCCTCTATTGATTTATTTGACCGTGCCATGCTCCATATAGGTTTTCTGGAACTAAGTCTCATGGGTGGGTGGTTTGCTATATCTATTTGTACATGTAAGTCTGGATAGTTGCTCAGTTTCAGTATCATTGACTCAGTCTGGACTTGCCTGCGTAGGTCTGGAGGGGCTATATTAGACAGGACCGGTAACCAATCTAGTTGGGTTGATCTCACGGTGCCTGTTATGATTCTCATGGTGTTATTTAACTGTACGTCGACCTTCTTGCAATGCGCGCTTCTGGCCCACACAGGGGCACAGTAGTCTGCCACGCTGTACACTAGGGCTAGAGCAGAAGTGCGGAGCACGTTTGCGTGGCAGCCCCAGCTTGTGCCTGCTAGCTTGGCAATAATGTTATTACGTGTTTTTATTTTATCTTTCATGCTTTCAAGGTGCTGTCTGAAGATTAAAGTTCTGTCCATTCTTACCCCTAGATATTTTGATGCTTCTTCAGTGGTGATTTTTTAGTCTTCGATTACTTTGTTTAGTGTTCTACTGGCTTCTCGGTTGTTTAAGTGGAAAGTGCATGTTATTGATTTTTTTTGGTTTCAATTTGAGGTGCCATTTCTGGAAATACTTTTTTACTTTTGCCACGTCTGCGTTCAATATACTTTCGATTTCTTCAAAGGATGTGTATATGTTAAAAAGCATTGGGGAGAGAACGGCTCCTTGTGGAAGGCCATTTTGTAGAATTTTGTATCGGCTCGTTTTCCTTCCATGTGTTACTCTGAATTTTCGATTTGATATCATTTTCTCTAGGAGTAGTATAGTGGCTTTACATCTTATGGTCTTTGCTATTTTAAGGAGACCTCTAGTCCAGACTATATCATAGGCTGACGATAGGTCAAGAAAAAGTGCGACCAATTTTGTTTTTTATATTTGTCTTTCAAAGTAGATTATTATTATGGATAAATGTTGTTTAATTATGTTCTAGAAAATAATACGCCTAATTTAAAACCTAAGGAAAGCAATAGAAAATGTCTACATTGAAACAATGGAGGTGGTTTTTATTGGTTGTACCTAACTTAAAATTGAATACCGATGGTATTATTTAATTTTTTTTTTATTTAAACTTTATTAATACAATTAGTTTCAACAATTATTTAGTATAATATAATAGTCGTTTATATGAAAAGAAAAAGTAGTAACAAAATATAAATTAAATTTAAATCCCGTATGGTTAAAAAAAAAAATAATATATTTAATATGATATTTTTTTGTTGAATTGAGATATTAATAGTAAGATGTTAATTAGATGTTTATAGTATCAAAAGGGATATTAGAGGTATTCAAAAAGGACAGTAGGTGATCACGATGTGTTGATAGACTGGGACAGATGAATTGTAAATAGCTGATATGACAGACCATTGGATAATTGTGCAGTGTGCAGCGAAGGAAATCATTCAGTGACATTTTAAAGGAATGAGAAGAAAGTCTTGTGTGGCCAAATCGCAGATGGGAGAACAATATAATGAATTTCCTATAAAGATTGGAGTTGTGGAACTATGATAGAGTTGGGATAGTAGGAGATATATTTCTATATTAAATGGAAAAGTGAGGAGGGAGTGAACCCTGATGTTTGAGCCAAAGATTGGATGTGCAAGTCCTAAGGATGGTGATAAAGTCAGCTCATGGAATATTTATATCTGAAAGGCAACTGAGGAAGGCAGAGGAATTGGCAAGCTTATCTACAAATTAATTTCTCGCAATACTAGTGTCTCCAGGTACCCATATAAATTGAATGTCAGTGCTAGATTCTGTTAGAGAATATAAAATATGTCTAATAGTGATTATGAGAGGAGAAATATGTGATTTGAAAACATTAGAGGGAAGAACTTGATGACAGGACAAAGAGTCAGTGGTGATGAGAAATTTATTTGGCAGTAAGAATAATATTGTATTGAGTGCTTCGTTTATAGCAAAGTATTCATTTATGAAAGAAAATACCGTTGATTGTTAAATTATTAGAGAAAGAAATGTGAAACTTCGGGACTAAAAATATTTAGCTGATATAAGAGTGCAAAGCCGTCTCTGAAGTTTAAGACAAAGAGTGGGAAAGTATTACGGTTATAATCGAGATAGATATTGTTTACATAATCGGGTGGTGCAGATAATATAAAGATTCGAGTGTGATTTAAAAAGTTATTATATAGGTGAGTGATGGGAGGAAAAATTAAAAATTGGAAATTTATTATTATGTTGGAGGCTTGTTAGTTTAAATAATATAATTTTACGTGACTGAAATATAATATGCTGTGAAGCGAGAACTGGAAGAGTCTTTTAAGTATATCGCCAAGAGTAATAAATGTCAAGGAAGGAATTAAAAAAGTAGGATTCTTTGTTTGCTAATTGTTTGAGTAAAAATTTACCGGAAGGCCATTTGGTTCTAATATGAAGTGGTTGGCATGATGAAACGACCTCAACAGCAGAAGAAGAGGTGGATCATAAAGCACCAATAATGGATCTTAAACAAGAGGTTTGTAATTTATTAAATTTATTAAGGTGTAAGAGGGTAGAAGAGCTTGAAAAAAAAACAACAATTATCTAACTTGGCCTGTATGGCAGATTTGTAAATTAGTAATAAAGTGGGAGCCCCTCCACCATTCATTGGCTACGGATCTAATAAAGTTCTAACCAGCGGGTGATAAAAATAGTTAAGTCGTGAAGGTGGAGGAACCAACGAAGTTTAGGATCCATATTTAGACCTAAATATGTATAGTTTGAGACGTAGAGAATTATATGACCTGTAGTGGTATCACACTGAAGTTTGTGTCATCTAGAGAAAATTAAAGATTTAAATTTTTCGAGAGCTATTGAAAAGAAGGAATAAAATAAAATATTATGTAAAGAACATAACGTATCACTAAGAGAAGTAATTTCAGTGTTGATTTAACTATTGTGAGAGTACATTACTATATCATCAGTATACTCAAGACAACTGTGACTAGGAGAATTAAGACGATTGACTAGAAAGCACATGTAATGTTAAAAAGAATTTGGCTCAGATAGCTACCTTGTGATAGGCCGATTTTTGTGGAACAAATACTGGTAATACCGAAGGAGGGAAGAAAATTTAAAGTTCTGTGAGAGAAAAGTCGAAAGATAAAATTGGTGAAAAAGAGGGCGAGATTTAGTGCGTTTAGGAGGGAGATGAATAGAGGGATGTTCTCGAAGTCAAAGGCGCCGCGAACATCAATAAAGGTGACAACAAGGTACTCTCTATTATTGAAAGATAGATAAGTGTCAACAGTAAAGTTGGCAAGACAATCAGTGGTATTTCGAGGAAAAATAATATATTTAAAATTGCGTAACCTAACCAATTGTGGTTTAGAAATATTCAAATATTTACCAAATATTTTAGTAGCTGTTGAATTGTTCGGGTTGCTGGTGCTAACCATTAAATAACATGAAAAAAATAGAAGGGCTTCAGCACCTCCAGTTTTTTTCATTGAAATTGCACTCCTGATTGGCACTATAGAACACTGCGGCAAAACATTATCCATATATATATGAGCGTTTCGGTTTTATTATTTCCCGCTTAAAAAAAAAAAAAAAATGTGTGTTGAGATCTTTATAATAAACAGACATAACAATTAAGTGTTTTATAATAATATGCACATTAACAATACATACTAAAGATTTTTTTATTCTTATTTTATTATAATTATTACTTATTATAAACCATTTATTTTATCCCTGATGCATCACTAAACAAAATTAAAAAATATACACTCTACAAAATACTTAGATCTTAGATTTTATTATTTAAATAACAGTATAAATAACATTTTCTGAAGTTGTAAAATTTGAATTATGTTAATTTATAATAATTTTAAAAAAATATATATATAATTACTATCGTAACTATAACAACTGATTTCTTGTTATTATTTTATCATTGATTACTTAGTTTCATATAAATTATAATTTTGTTTTAAATATCATCATAAAAAATTTCATTTTCGACTATTTACCAATTTAGTATACGTTTTATTTAATATATTTTAAACAACAGTAAATAATGAATTCTGAATCGGAATCGAAACCATTTGCAATAACTCCTCGAAAAATACTGTGTGACGTCAATCTGCTGAATACTAATAAAAAGGCACAGAATTGCCAGAACGGGTACCCGTACAGAACCACTGTTGGAGAGAAGCCCAATGCTGGTGATCACAAATTCAAGGTAGACATACAGTACGGGCCCATAAGTGTGTGTGGAGTCATTAAACACCGCTCAGAAAGGATTGACCACATCAAGAGTAAGTCGGTTGAGATTGTAAGCTCCACAGATAACGACTCGTGTTCTAGAATAGGGTATCGTTATGCTTCGATTAACAATTATCAATTTTACATCATATAATATTATATAACTTGTTCGTAGAAAAACTGGAAAATCTTGGATTCGATGTAAACCTGATACAGTTTTGGATTTATGAGACAGTGGTGTTCGCATATGAAGGTCAAGAGATATTCTCATGCAATATCAGGAACCTGTCATTCAAAGGACAATCGTTCAAAGATCCTGTTACTAATAGAGTGATTCAAAAACTGGTAAAATATCGCAGGTACACCAATGATATGCGTGCAATAGTAAAAACCAGAGGATTAAATCCGAAATCGCATTGTTTCGCTTTCATCACCAAGTGACTCCATTGACCACAATAGTGAGTAGCCCGTCAAAGTAGTCTGAAATTAATTAAAAAAAAAAAAAACTGTAAATTAAAAATCTGAATAAAAACTTAAGACCTTGTATTATAAACACTAATTCTACAGTGATCCATAGAATTTAGAGGTATACACATAGTTTTTCATGAGACCTAATAGGTTGGTGGTTATGGCTTTAAATGGACCCGGGTGCCGCACTTCCGTGCTATCGGATGGCACCACATCATCTTCGTCGGTAGTTTCACGCCAAAGATCTTCGTATGGGTCTTATATTGCAAAGCGGCTCCAGGGTCACCCTGTAACGTTCAAAAACGAATTTAAATGGAGGTCACGTCGAAGAGTGGCAGTATAATAACGAAGTGCTATGATGCTGGTCAAGTCCAGCAGCTGTTTTCCAAAATAAATGTACCCGTGCTGTCGATTCCACGCGCACGACGTGCATCACACGTTGCACAACCGGTGATCGTATGTCTTACAACGCACGCACTTCACCGTCGGAGTTCGTATCGACTGTATGGTCACATTCAGATCACCTACGGAACCATTTGTGGAACGGTGCGTTCACGAAAGTATGTTGTATCTTTTTTTGTGTCATCTCGCACGCCTTTCGATCGGGAAAAGTGATATTGAACCAATTGTACAAATAGATCGTAATTTTAAAATGTTAAAAATACTGTTTTTATAGCCGTTGTATGGTAATGATTCAAAATGAATCAAAAAATGTACACGGCTCGATAATTTCATTTATTCGACATACATTTATTCATATTAGCTTATTATTATTAGTATTTTAACATTTTAAATTTTCTATCTACTTATACGATCTGAAAATTATATTTCACTTTTCTCGTTTAGTATCACTTTTCCCAACCAAAATACGCGAAATTGTACAAAAAACGATGCAACATACTTTGGTGACCACACTGTTCTACAAATGTTTCCGTAGGTGTTCCGAATGTGACTAAAGGTTGACATGGACTCCGATGGTGAAATGCGTGAGCTGTAAGTCTAGTGATGAGCAAAGTAGGTCTTGGTCTTGCAGTCTTGATCTTGATCTTGCTGCAAAACCAAGACCCAGACTGAGTTGGTAATACCATGACCAAAACAATTGTCTTGCAACTTTTATTGTAATTAAAAAAAAAAAAAAAATGTTCCTGGAAAAACACATTTAGTGTAGGTTAAATGAAACAATTTATTAGGAAAATAATAAAAATGTAATATTACATTGGACATACAACGCAGTGTTCGGGAAATAACAAATTGTTGAATTATTGAAAACAAAATAAGAAATAATTGGATATGATATTCACTATAAAGTGGTTCTGTAACAAATAGCAATTATAGTAACGTAAATCCTGAAACATTATAAAATAAACAAACTGGATTTACTGCATATCACTTATTCTAGATCCAAGGCACAAGGTAGAAACATTTGATTTAACGCATTGGAGAGTAGAATTAAAAGAAAGGAGTCTGAATAAATTTAAAAAAATCTATGAAGTATACTTAAACAATGAGCCAGTGACTTTTTTACTACTACAATATCCGTGCCCTAGTTATAGGTAATCACCGGAACAGATTAAGTAATGAATATGCACAATGACTACTTTGTACCAACTCTTAGTCAAAAGAGCTTTAGAAAATGTGATGTTATATTCGTAATTTTTTAATATTTCTCTATAATTACAGCTTGTTATACATGTTGAGTATTTACAATAACTTCAATACAACCACCGTAAATGCAACGTATGCACATCGTGCGAATGGAATCGATAACACGGGTATTTTTATTTTGAAAAAAGACTGCCAGACTTGATTGACTGATGAATGATGTCTTAGTAAACAAAATTAACAAATATTATCTCGGCTTTTAAACGTTTGTTTTTTATGAATTGATTCAAATTTAATATTTTACTTTAAAATTTAAAACCAAAAAGACATCCAGGTGACTTCATGAAGCTACAAGGTTTTGAAAATTCAAAAGTATTTAATAGGATTAAAGTATTGCTGCACTGTACAGGCTATACAGAGCGCATGCGTAAACGTAAGAATATATGTATAGCATCTAAGTAACTTAAACTATTTTTTAAATAATTAATGAAATTAATACAAACAAAATTAAATATAAAATTATTCGAAGTAAAAATCACATTAGTTTCGTTTTGAAACAAATCTACGTTTAAAGAAAAATCAAAAATGAATTAAAGCAAAAATTAAATGTTTGTGCACAGTTTGTAACTATTATTGTTCTGTTACTAATAATATAAAACCCATTATGTGAAGGAACTCATTTTTTTCGAGGTCCGGGTCCCGTGTTCCACATATATGTGAAATATATATATATATATATATATATATTTCTACATATATTACATTATGTACGTAAAATATTCTTTTTATGATAAATATATCGTATTATACTGAGTTCATCATTATTTATTCCATTTTGCACATTACACTTGGGTATTAGAAGCACTATGTTTTGAACTTTAGAAACTATTTGTTGTTTAGATAATTAAAGTTAAACGGCGTGCGTTCCGTCTTATTATAATGTGTTAGCACATACGTTTTACAAAGCTCTTAGCGATATTATATAAGAAGTTCAAAATATTTTAGCCATAGTTTAATTTCTTTTTTTTACTTATCGACCCGGTAACTATACCTTGAAATAGTGGCGTCATCTCAGTTTTTTCTAGAGTAGGGCAGTCGGCATGCTTTTATTATTTTGTCGACTCAACGTTAGTTTTACGTCAACTACCATACAAGTATTGGGGGTAAGAGGTATGTGCAAGATAAAAAAAACTTGCACTATAATAATCTATAAATCATTGAATTGTCAACTCGATGGCTCATTTTGACGTTACACCGATTAACGTAGAGGAGGAGGACGTCAAACCAGTCTAAAAATACCATGGTATAATGATTTGTATTTTGTACATCGGTAATCGTATAGCACACGTCTCACACCATAGACTTATGTGGTAACAATTTGTATTAGAGTAATCGATTATAGTTACTTTTAAAATTGTGAGTTTTTACTGATTTAAAACATGTCAATGGCTTTATAAAAGACGAATTTATATTTTGATGATGTGTTGACTTAGGAATAATTAAACTCTAGACCGAGGAAAATACATAAGTGCTCCCCCCTAAAAAAAAAAAAAATGACGCCACTACCTTGGAACTATAAATTCTTAATACTGAGTAAACTCTAAACCTATCATCTATAGACAAATCTACAGACAAAAATCTATTACAATTATTTATAGTATTCTTAAAACTATTTTAGAGTGGTGTATTTTAAATAAAATATATAAATAAGTATAGCAATATAACAGATAATAGTTTAAAACATTCTAAAATGTGCAAGTCTCTTTAGTTTGTGTAATTTCGAAGTTTAATTTGACTAAACTAATATTTGTTCAACATAAAAAGTACAAGATACGTCTTAGTTTAAACATACATCGAATTTAGTCTGTAATTACTGGGGGACATAATTTTCATAAAAATTCATGTTTTGATAAGATTATGTTTTCCGTGGATTTTTAGGCACCTAGGTATATGTTTTATTATTAAAAGAAAAAAAAAATCCTGATTTATATAAATTTTATAATGTCTCCCCACCTATATAACACGTACTATTGTTTAATTGCACGATAAAAGTCGATTCTATGATGTACAATTAATTCCTAATGTGCTTATTAAGAGATATTTCCCAAATAAAAGTCAAACCGAAGTTTTCACGCGTTATTTTTTTCAAGAATAGTATTAATGTATTTATTATTAATCTCATACGTAATAATGCGTTCCTTTCGGGAGGTTTATCGAAACATTTGAATCATATTTTTAGACGTCTTCTCCCATTAAAATCATTGCCGATTTTTACCACACACACACACGCACACACAAACATGAGTGACATAACCACAATAGTGTCTAAATTGACGGCGGTAGTGTTGATGGTCTGTATGCATATTGTGTGTACACTACAAACGTTTGCACGGATCATTTTTACATATACAAATGTACACATACACATTGCATTTCGTGACCGCTGTGCAATTACATGTACCGATGTTTGAAAAGCGAATGCGTGTAAAAAAAAAAATTAAAAAAAATTTGGTGTTTTCGTCGGCCACCGTTCCGTTAATTAGGTGTCTCCCACTACCGCAGATATCGGTTCTTCGACATGTACGTTATGTGCATAAGTGAGTATGTGCACGGGTTCTATACAAAAATAATATCGATATATCATAATTTAATTGTTTAATATCAAATTTTTTGTAGTAAGATTGTAAATATTAGATATATTACTAATATTTGTTATCAACATATTGGTAAATTCCAATACTTCTCATCGAGTGATAGTAAGTATGTTTTTTCAGTTTTATGATTTGGTTAGGATTTGAATCGTGAATTGTGACATTTGTTATTTATTTTTTTTTTTTCGTTGATTGGGTCTGAGAAAAAACTAATTTACCCGAAATTAGTTTTAGTATAAATTGGTAATTTAATTTTAGTAGTCATTTTGAGACAATCTGATCAAGACAGAGAAGGAATTATCAGTGGTACATCGATACTATAAAAAATAATCAAATTATACCGATGTATCGAAGAAGAATATCGATACTTGATAATATCAACATATCAAGTCCATGCCTAGTGCTCGTAGTACGTGAGTACGTGCAATACGACTGCACGGTGTAGCCGCGGCGAAACGCAAAACTGTACAGGTGAAAACGGATGTGCGATATTCTATAGAACAAGGGTGTATTTGAGTTGTAGCCATGGGGAGGGGGGGGTGTAACTAATTTTTCTTCAGTACAAACTTAAAAATGATTTACAGTTCATTACATACATGCTCATGTTCCTGTTATAATTTAATATAATTAATAATTATATATTCTTAATTATTTATACTTTACATTTTTTAAATAAACCAATGTATTATATTCGAAAAAAATACGAGCCATGGGGAGGGCGAATGCCCCCTTTGCCCCCCCCTCCCTCAAATACGCTCTTGCTATAGAAGC